AAGAGGTCGAGATAGTTAACAGTTTTAGTTTGCTTGGCTCCAGAGTCAACACCCTTGGTACCAGCAGCAAGGAAATCAAGAGACAAATTGCATTGGGAAAGTCAACTGTCAGGAACCGCTCCAGAGTACTGAAGAGAAACAACTGTCAGGCTGGAGACTAAGGTGCACCTGATCCAGGCTACAGTCTTCGCAATTGTGTGCTATGCACTGAAGAGCCAGACAAGTGACTAGGGATAGAAAGAGAATTGATGCCTTTGAGCTGTGGTGCTGGAGAAGAGTGCTGAATATACCATGGACTTCTAGGAGAACAAACAGGTTTGTCCTAGTGAGGGTGAAGCTGGGTTATTACTTCAAATCAAGGATTCTGAAGCTTCATCTGATATAATCTGGGCATGTTGCAAGGAAGGACCAGTCCTTGGAGAGGGACATGTTTGGGAGAGTGGACAGCGCAGGAGAGGAAGACCCTTGATGTGATGCATTGATTAAGTGATTGGGGTAGTGGGAATAGGTGTGTCGGAGACAATGAGGTTGGCAAAGGATAGAGCAGGGTTTAGGGCTCTTTGAAGTTTTCTGTTCATCTCTTTTCCTTTAGTATGTCTTCCCTTTGTTTAGCCTTTACATGTCCTAGTGCAATTTTCAGAGTCTCTTCTGACACTTCCCTTTTGGTTTTTCTCCTTGGCATTGTACTTTCTTAATAGATGATACATCCTTGGTGCCATCCCACAATTCATCTGGTCTTCAGCCACTAGTGGTCAATACTCCAACTATTTCAAAATCTAGACTATATAAAGAATGTGACATCAGGATTGGAAGGAAACTCATCAACAACCTGCATCACGCAAATGACGTAGCCTTGTTTACACAAAGTGAAGGACTTGAAGTGCTTGCTGCAGATGATCAGGAGGACTTTTGTTCATAGGGTCACTATGAGTCGCCTACGACTCAATGGCACTTAACAACAATAACACCAACATAGAGAGATTATCAGTTGGCCTAGTGGAAAGAAAGTGATGCCACTAAGACAAAGGTGGGTGACTTCTAATCTGCGGCCCTCAGGTCTGTTTTTCATTGTTTATGTTCAAACATTCTTCTAGGTGGTATAGCTGTGGTGTGTCCACTTGCCGTACGGAGGTAACTTGTGGTTGCTGTGAAGCTGAACATTGTGACACTGATGCTTGACAGTGTCTGGTGGCCCTCCCCAATTAAAACAAGCTTGGAAGCAGGAGTGGCATCCACTTCTGTAATAGCTTGCCTCCGGAAACCCTATGAACCTGAAGAAAGGATGAAAGTCACACAAGTGTTGAGGACTTTCATTCACAGGGTCGCTATGAGTTGTCTATGACTCGACAGTACGTAACAACAACAACAATGGTAGGCATATGGATTACATTTCAATAAGAAGGGGGAAAAAATCTTCCCCATTTCATTAAAATTAAAAAAAATGAGAAGACGTGCCAAAAAAAAATATCCCCACTAGACAAATAGGTAACATCTTAACAGATAAAGACTGAAGTTGTTAACAATCTCATTTTACTTGAATCTATAATCAGTATCTACAGTAATAGCAGTAAATAAATCAAAAGGCTTGTTGCCTTGGGAAAATCTGCTGTCAAGAGCCTGTTCAAAGTACTAAAATGCAAGGATGTCCGTTTAAAAAAATAAAGTTCTCCTAATCCAAGTAATGGTCTTTTCAACTACTTCGTATGTAGCTCAAAGTAGACAATGAATACGGATGAAGGAATGACAAGAATGAGAATCCTAGAACATTTAGCTGGAGAAGACACTGAACATCTCATGGCTGCCAAAAGAACAAAGAAGTCTGTTTTGGAGGAAGTGCTTGGACATACTTGGACATTTTGTTTAGGAGGGACCAGTCCTTGGGAAAAGATAACATGCTAAGAAGGGTGAAGACTCAGAGAAAGAGAAGATGACGCTTAACAAAATGGAATGATACAGCAACTGTAACAATGAGCTTGAACAGATGCAAGATTGTGAAGATGGTGCTAGATACAGTAAGATTCAGATCTGTTGCTCATAGGGTAACAGTTGACTGGATGGCACTTAAAACCAAAAACTTAAAACCACATTTGTGGATAAAAGAAGCCTTGGTGGCACAGTGTTTAAAGACTGTGTGTTGGCAGCTCAAACTTAATGGCTGCTCGGAAGGAGATAGCTGTGGCATTCTGCTTCCATAAATAAACATGATATGGCATTTCTGGTCGCTTAGGGGTAAGGAGTTAACTACCAATGCAAATACTGGCAGGCTGAATCCACCAGGGGAGAAAGATGGGCAATCTCCCATATACAGTCTCTCAAAAACCCCTGCAGAGTCAGCTATGAATTGGTTTACAACTTGATAGCACATAACAGCAACAACAACCCTGTCCTATAGAGTCCCTGTGAGTAGGAACTAAAAAAAAAAAGCAAGAGATTTGCTTTTCTGGTTTATACTCTTGGGAATAGTCTTCTTTGCTATGTTAACAAGGTCATATTAGGAATAGGGTGTGTCTTACACCAACAACTTTTGAGACACAAAAAGAGCATATTAATTACAGAAACAAGAAAGAATAAATGGGAAAACACAGTAGCCAAGTCACATGAAGATCACCAACGAACAGAAGTAAAATAAAGAGCTGAGAGAAAACCTGTCCTCCACTAGAGCTGGTACTCATAATCTGGACTCTAGCCTCCTGTTGTTAATAGGTGGTATTGAGTTAATTTCAATATGCAGTGACCCTATGCGTCCATGGAGGACTGGCACACAGCTTTATAAGCTATAATCTTTCCAAGAGACTGTCAAATCATTCTCCTGTGTAGCAGCTGGGTGGGTATGAATCAACAACCTTTCAGTTAGCAATCGAGTGCTAATTTTAACTAATTTGAGGAAATAAATTTCTGTTTGCCAACTTGAGATATTTCTATTATACAGAAGTACTAAGAAGTAAAGAGAAAATCACTACTGTTTTGACATCTTTCAGTAGCCAAATATTTTTCCTATGTTCATTAATGATTTACATTTTATTTCTTACAAGTGATGTATTTTTGTTATTAGTTTTCATGTTTTAATAATTGATCTGTATATAATTTCTTCAACTGTAATATATTCAAAAAGCTTCATCTGCTCCAGAGTTTAAATATTTATTTTGAAACTTAGCAATAGTAATTTTTCAACATATATGTTTTGTTGTTGTCCTAATATATTATCTATCAAACTTCTTGGGTTTGTTGTTGTTATGTGCCATGGGTCAACTATGACTCTTAGTGAAGTTATGCACAGTTAACTCTGAACCTCACCCTATCCTAAGCCAATCTCACTGTCTCCAACACATCTACCGCCAATACCCCAGTGACTGTGTCAATCCATTTCACCCAGTGTCTTCCTCTTCTGTGCTGTCCATCCACCCTTCCAAGCATCATGTCCTTCTCCAAGGATTTGTCTCTCCTGGTAACATGCCCAAAGTATGTCAGATGGAGCTTCAAAATCCTTGCCTCTAAGAAGAAAGCTGGTTTCTTCCTCTCCAGGACAGACCTGTTTGTTCTCTTGGAAGTCCATGGTACATCCAATAGTCTTCTCTAGTACCACAACTCAAAACTTCTGGTAATATATATTAAAATCATCTGTGAAGCAGCTTATGATGTTCTGTAAGTCTCATACTTTAAAAAATTTGAATTAAATTCATAGAAAACATAACTAGTATAGAAATGATTCAGTGACAGTGTAGGGCCTCCTTGTTTTACTTCACAAAGGGTAAAAGAGAATCAAGATCATCAGCAAGCCCAATGCTTGTTCCTATTAGCTGAATATCACACATAGCTCCTCTCTCCAATGCTTTTATCAATTTTGACAACAGTTGTCCATCCCTCAGCACTTTTCTGCTGAGTTTAAGAATTCACTGCAGTAGACACACAAAATTTATAAAATCTATTCACAGATATGGGAATTATTAGGGAAGTAAAAGGTTACAGTTCAGGGTCAGGAGAGATTCACAATACATTTCTTAGATCAAGAAAACTTCTCAGTCATATCCTCTGGCACATAGAACCTCAGCCCTCAGCCCTGTGGCCTTTGACAACTTGGCCTGGTCTCTACCCTAAAGAGATGCACAATAAACTTTTAAAAATCTGCCAGCAAGTGCCTGGAGACACCATATACTGTGAGGAAGTTACCTGCCCAAAGGTATTCAGCTCACTTGCTCTATGTGTGGGCAAGCCCAGATCCTCAAACAAGTGTCCAGAGGTACCTCACTCTGCTAGCAAGTCTTGTGCTGGGAAGAGCTCAGTTTCTTTGCTCCATGGGTTAGTCATATGTACTATAGCCACTTTATTCCATGAACCAGGAAGCCAACTGTGCCATCAGGCAATGAAATCCTAATTCTGTTCTAATTTCCAATACCATTGCTTCACCATCTTTGGTGTTACAAATCTCTCTCTCTTGACCTTCTTGGTTGATTAAGTTCTCAGCATGGGAACTATGAGTCTAAAAGATAGGCTCTATTCCTGGTTCTTCTTCCCCTCCACCCCGACTCCTTCCACTTCATTTTTATTTTATATTGACTTGCATTCAAAATGGTTCTTTTTTTCCTTGATGGTGGTAAGTTACTATCAGTCTTCTGGGATTAGCTCTCTTTTTAAACCTAATGGATGGCAAAACTGACCAATCTTCTTGTTAAGCACCCCATAAAGATTCCATACATCTTATTTGCATAATGGGCAGGCTGTGCATTTCCCTTGGGAGGCCACAACCTATTTGCTCAGTTCCATTCAATCACTTTGTAGGAGCCACAAGACCATGCATGGCTACAAGGGCCATACTAATTAAGTGATTCATTATCACACTAGGAAAATGTATTTTTGAAAAGATGAAAAACAATGCACTATGTTCTGGAGTGGAATGTGCAACTGTTTTGCTCTAACTTTCTGCGCTCAATATTTCTTTCGGAGAAGTAACATATCACACTATTTAATAAGAGATTTTATAGAAAACCATCTATGTTTCTTACCTGTTTGGAGAGTACTAGGAAAAGACAAGGTGACTTTTTCATCTTCATTCTGATAGTTAAATCCTGTAGCATGTATTTCTGAAATGAAAAATATGTATATTTATTAGTCAACAAGTCTTAGAGAACTAATGAAACCAACCCACCCACATAACAGGACTGAACATTTTCAAGAGAAAATTCTCTGATAAATCAAAATAAAATTAATTTAATATTCAAGTCCCACTCGTTAAGTACCTTGTTTCAAGTTAGTTTACTGTAGGCTATAAAACCTAAGTGAAACATTCACCTTAAAAACATTTACAGTTTATATTGAGTCACTAAATTTAGGAATGTTAAGAGAAATATAGGTACCATAACCATATTGTGGTTTTCTTACAAGTTATGAGATATGGTTCATTCTTATTCTTGTGAAACTATGACACTGCTTTCTATGTTAGATATGTCTTCATAAACATTTGAGAGATTGAGTAAATAGTAAGATTTTAATGTTATAAATATATCAGTTATAGTTCTATTGTTCCCTCCTCTCACCAAAAAAGAAATCACAATTTTAACCAAGAAAGAAATCACACTTACTTTAAGTAAATTTACTTATTATTTTATAGAAATTGTAAAAACATTGCAAAACCAAATCTATGAATTAAAAATCCATTCTGAACTTACTCTTCAGAATACTTGAGCTTCCTTATTTGACACTTTAGGGAAAAGACCCAAGTAGATCAATTTCCAACCACAGCCCAATTCTACCCTAAAAAGTCAGCCAAAGAGTAGTGGCCTTAAGCACATGAAAAGACACTGAGTATCATGAGCCATCACCATAATAAGAAAACATTTCTTACACACAAAGATAGCGAAGGTAGAAAACACTGGTAATAATAACTGCTAACAGTATGTAGAAAAACTGAGATCCTCATTCTTGTGGAAATATAAAACAGTGCAGTCTAAATCTAGCAATTACCAAAGGAACTCAGCAATTCCTCTCCTAGGTGGATAACCAAAAGAAATGATGTTCATAGAAAACATATATACAAATATTCAAAATAGCCTTCTTTATAGAAGACTAAAAGGAGAAACAACTCAAATGGTTACCAAATGACAAATAAGTAAAATATAGTATATCCACACAATGAAATAGTAGGTATTAATAAAAATTAAGAGGAAAAAAGAGTTCATTAAAAGCTCACTCATTCATTAGTATGGAGTTGGAACCGAACCAACTTGTAGTTAACCCTTCAGTGAGTTTTCAAAAGCTGTAAATCATTCAGGAGGAGACTGCTCATCTTTCTCCTGTGGAGCAACTGGTAGATGTGAACTGCTTGCCTTTGGGTTGGCAGTACAACTGCCTACCCCAGGTCTCTAAAGCTTCCTATACTACAACTATACATATATTACACAACATGGATAAACCTTATAAACATTTTAGGAGATGCTTTGGTGGCATAGTTCATATTGCTGCTTTCTTTACTGCTAAGCAAAACAGGTAAATTTATAGACTAGTGATTACTTAAGGAACCCTAGGGGTATAATAGTTAAGAACTCCACTGCTAACTAAAAGGCCAGAAGTTGGGTATCAGCAGTTCTTTAGAAGAAAAGATCTCGCAATTTTCTTCTAGGACAATTACAGTCTAAGAAATCCTATGGGGTTGTTCTGTTCTGTACTATAGGTTGTTTTGAGTGAGAATAAACATGAGGTCAAAAACCAACAGCTTAAAAAAAAAACCCAAACAAAAATAACAGTTGCAGCCTAGAGGTGAGGAAGAGGTGACTAAAAGGGAAAAAGGTGACTATTAATAAGTATTTTCTTTTTCAGGGAGAAAATAGTTTTAAAACTCATTCCAGCAACAGATGTATAATTATATATACATATATCCCTGAAATACACATCTTAAATGAAAAAAAAAATTGTATAAACTGTTATTTCAATAAAGCTGTTATTATTAAGAGACAAGTGGCTATATGTTTAAATTGGAAATGGACTAAGACTGATTCAGATTTAAAAACATTCTGAGGCAGGCAAGATGTTCACAATTCTTTATGAATCATTCTCAATGACTGGAATTTAAAATTATTTCAAAATCACTCTGACTTATTAAGTAAAAATCTTTAAATTAGCAAATAAATTTTTTAAACATAATTTTATGTTTTAAAAGGAATTTTAATAATTTTCTAATCTCATCTTTTCCATTTTACAAATAAAGATAATTAGATCAAATTCAAGTCTTCAGTCAGGGATCTCTCCAAATTACTGAAGAGTAATGATACTAGTTTGAGGACTGAGGTGAATTTGACTCAAGACTATATTGCTATGCTGCTGAGAGCTATATAATGAATAAGGATAACAAAAGAAAAACTGACACCTTGGAACTGTGGTGCTGGATAAGAGTACAGTATCTCATGGAATGAGTGCTCCTTGGAAGCAAGGATGATAAAGCTTTGCTTGACAAACTTGAAGCATCTTGCTAAGAAAGACTGGTTATTCCTTGGAGAAAGACATCATGCTTGGAAAGGTGGAAGGATAGTGAAAGAGAGGAAGACTCAACCAGTTAGATAGGCACAGTGACTGCAATAATTGACTTGAGTTTGTCAAAGATTGTGAGGCTGACACAGGATAGGACACAGTTCAGATCTGTTGTTTCTTACAGGTCTTTTCTCAGATATTTTATGCATTTGAGAGACATTTTTCAAATATGAATACTTACACCCGCATAATATATTTTGTACTCACCAAGAAAAGCATACTCTGTATGGTTAGAGCATGCTTACTTACTTACAGTCAAAAATGTATCTTAATTACTTTTTAAAGACAGTATTTAAAAATTTGATTTCAAAAGTCTATCTTATTAAATAAAACCTGTGGTTCTCTACTGAAGAAGCCCTTATGGTATACTGTCTAAGTTATCAGGCTACTAACCAAAAGACTAACAACTGGAATTCACCAGCTGCACTTCAAAAGAAAGGGCAGTTTTCCTACCATAAAGATTTAAAGCTACAGAAACTCAACTGAGGATTGCTATGAGTCTTATCCAGCTTGCCAGCAGTGAGTAGCGAATATAAAGCCATAAGCAAGCTTTTACAGTTAAAGTGAACCTCTGAATCAATACTTTTAAGATTTTTTTTTTTGCCATAGTTTTATACAGGTGAAAGTTTAAATCAAATTTCACTTCTATTTACAGACTATTTACATAATATCACATACATACTAACACTCCATAATAAATATGTCAATTACCTTTCTACGAAGATGGCGCCAAAAGCGAAGAAGGAAGCCCCGCCCCTCCCAAAACTGAAGCCAAAGCAAAGGCATTAAAGGCCAAGAAGGCAGTCCTGAAGGGCTTCCACAGACAAAAAAAAATCTGCATATCACCCACCTTCCTGCAGCCCAAGACACTGATACTCCGAAGGCAGCCCAAATACCCCCAGAAGAGCGCCCCCAGGAGAAACAAGCTTGACTACTATGCCATCATCAAATTTCCCCTGACCACTGAGTCAGCTATGAAGAAGATAGAAGATAACAACACACTTGTGTTCACTGTGGATGTCAAAGCCAACAAGGACCAAATCAAACAAGCTGTAAAGAAGCTGTATGACATTGATGTGGCTAAGGTCAACACTTTGATTAGGCCTGATGGAGAGAAGAAGGCCTGTGTTCAACTTACTCCTGACTATGATGCTTTAGATGTTGCCAACAAAATTGGGTTCATCTAAACTAAGTTCAGCAGGCTAATTCTAAACAGAAATTTTTCTTACCAAAAAAAAAAAAAGTCAATTACATATAAAGGTTTATTCCCTGAAATGTAGCACTCCATGGTGATTTTATAATGAATCTTTAGTTAATAAAATGTGATGTTGGAAGTGATGTCCAGGTATTTCAAATATCTGGAGGGTTACTCTGGTGCACAGATTTCAGCAGACTAAGAGGCAGGACTGGCCAGCCTCTTCTGAAATAATGTTATTGTTAGTGTTATGTGCCTTGAGTCGCCTGCGACCCACAACAACCTTATTACAGCAGCTCTGAACCATTCCCTGTCCTGAGCCAGTCTCACTAATTCTGACACACCAGTCTTCACTGTCACCATCACTGTATCGATCCATCTAATCTGGGGTCTTCCTCTCCTGTAATGTCCTTCCATCCTTCCAAGCATGATCTCCTTCTCCAAGGACCGGACTTTCCCGGCCATGTGTCCAAAGTATGACGGAGCTTGAAAATCCTAGACTCCAAGGAGAAACTTGGTTTTACCCTCTCCAAGACAGACCTATTTGTTTTCTTGGCAGTCCATGGTATGTTTAAGATTCTTCACCAGCACTACAATTCAAAGGCAGAGATTCTTTTTGTCATCCTTAGTAATTTTCCAGTCCTCTGATGCATAGCAAGTAACTGTGAAGACCATGGTCTGGATCAAGCACAGTCTGACATCTAGGCTGATATCGTTGCTTTTCAGCACTCTGGAGATGTCCCTGATAACAGATTTTCCCAATGCAATTTGCTCTTTGATTTCCTGACTGCTGGTGTCATGAGTGTTGAGTGTGGAGACAAGCAAGCTGTAATTGTTAACAACCTCAATCTCTTCTCCATTGATCATGGTGCTGCCAACTGGCCCAGTGTGGAGAAGCCTTCAAAAATCTTAGGGTTAATAGAGGAACAATGATGGATATAGTGCTTTCATCAAGTTGGAAGGCACTCAACATGCAACTGGGGAAGAGCTAATAGTCTACTGTAATGACAGGAATAAAGTTTTTACCCAATAAAGGTCATTTGCTAATGTGTCAAGAGTCAAAATGAGGAGAACAGCTTTAAGTATCCATCAATAACTGGAACATAGAATGTACAAAGTATGAACCTGGGGAAACTGGAAGTTGTTAAAAATGAAATGGGGCAAAAAAGAAATGGAATGCATTAAGACTGACATCCTAGGCATTAATGAGTTGAGAGGAACTGGTATTGACCACTCTGAATAAGACAATAATATGATCTACAAGGCAGGAATGACAAAATTAATAGGAATACTGACACATTCCTCATCAAAAAGAGCACTGCAAGATCCATCCTGAAGTACAATGCTGTGAAGTACAATGCTGTG